ATTCATGGGTTGTCACTGAACAGTTTTGTGTCAGTCTTTCCACCTGCTGCTCCAATGCCTGGTTCAGTTATGCTTCCGATCAAACTGGAAGCTCAGTTGGCATCTCCTGTTCAACTTGCTCCACTTCCACTGGGCAGTGTAGTCATTCCTCACAGAAACACGCAGAATCACAGAATTATAGAGTGCAGTAGACTGCGTCCAGATGGATTTTGAATATCTCCAGAGAAGACTCCATAACCTCCATGCACAGCCTGTTCCAGTGCTCTGCCACTTTCATAGGAATGAAGTTCTTCCTCCTTCTTGTATGGAACTTCTTCTGTTTCAGTTTATGCCTGTTGCCCCTTGTTCTGTTGCTGACCACCACTGAAAAAAGCCTGCCCCCAGTGACTTGACTCTCATGCTTTAGATATCTATAAGCATTAATAAAATCCCCTTTCAGCCTCCTCCAGGCAGAACAGTCCCAGGTCTCTCAGCCTTCCCTCACAAGGAAGATTCTCCATACCCCTGACCATCTTGGTAGCCCTCCACTGGACGCTCTCCAGATGTTCCATTTTCTTGAATGGGAAGCACAGAACTGGATGCAGTACTCCATATGCGGACTCATCAGGGCAGAGCAGAGAGGGAGGAGAACCTCCCTCAACCTACAGGCCACCCCTCTTTTGACGTACTCCAGGATACCATCAGCCTTCTGGGCCATAAGGACACACTACCAGCTTATGGCCAATCTGTTATCCACCAGGACATGTAGGTCCTCCCCTGCAGAGTTCCTCTCCAGCAGGTCACCCCCTAATCTGTACTGATGCAGGTGGCTATTCCTCCCCAGAACTATACACTTGTTCTTGTTCAAACTCATCTGGTTCCTTTCCATACAACTCTTCAGCCTGTCCAGGTTTCACTGAATGGCAACATAGCCTTCCAGGGCATCAGCCACTCTTCCCAGCATTGTATCATCAGCAAACTTGCTGAGGGTGGACTCTATCCCTTCATGCAAGTCGTTGATGAAGATACAGAGATAACTCTGAGGCTTCTGAATGATTAATGACTTGTACAGGTACGATACAACGTAAAGCTGGGCTGTGGGGATTCTCAGCTCTTGCGCTCAGTTTTGGTATTAGCCTAATCATACATCATGAGGAGCAATCTAATTGTGACAAACCCAGCTCCAAGGGAAAGCAGTATAACCATCCGAGAAGAGCTGTCAGTGCGCGTATAGAGGATCGCAGGAAAGAAGTCTTTAAACCCAGAAGACAAACAAAAGACATTGGCTTTCCTTCACCAGACAGAAAAATGAAGAAACTCAAAATATAATCTTAATTTACCTGAACAGCAGAAATAACAGAAGTTACATACTTCACTGCTCTGTCAGAGGAAGAGTATACGAGAAGCAGAGAGCCACTGACCTGTAGAAAGACTAAGGCAAATATGTATTCTGTTGGTTCTACTAACTGGGCTTAATTAGAAAAAATATGGTTTGCCTAGGATTTAATTAAAGATTCAGAGATTTTGCTTTTGTGAGTGTTAGAGACTGAAATCCTCCATCACTGGAAAAGGAGGCAATGAGGCAACAGGTCCCATTGGTGAGAAACTGAAAATCTACTGGGAAACAGCATTCACATTTTAAAATTGTTTCTAAAATTTCCAAATATGTATTTCATTGTCATTTCTAGAGCTTCTCTATCCTGTTTCTGCTAAAGGCATATAGTTGAAACCAGCTCCATCATCATTAAAATAGAATTCCCCTAGTCTCAGTATGGAAAATATTCCAGCAAGATCAATTAATCATAATGGTAGTGACTATAAAGAGATGCACAGTACATCAACTCAGTGTAGGATAGTGACTTTACCACCCCTGTGAAAAGAAGTGTATTTCAGTTTATTGGCACGTTAAAAGCAAAGAAAAACAACAACCACACCGCTAACTTTTAGAAACTCTTAGCACTGTTTCTCCCACTAAAGTTTTATATCCCATTCATCACCACAGTATCCAAACACAAAGGATTTTTAAAATTCCTCTATGGGAGCTTTTGGTGTTCTGCAGAGAACAAAACAGAAGCCCTGTGAGTACAGGTAGGGTAAGAATGAGGATGCTAATGAGAGCACCAGGGAAAAGTGGGAAATCGGCACTGTGTTGAAGACAGACCTCTCTATGCGTCAGTTTTTCCACCTGAATAAAATACTCACAGATCTGAACCAACTCTCTAGAGTGCTTTGAGCTTTGCAGAGAATAATTATCATGGAAATAAAAGCTATTACCTTCCTAATGACAATCAAGATAACAAAAGGAAAAAGGCATAAAAGCCCTTCTTTGTTGTTTTCATAGCGCTGCTCATGCTGGATCTCTAGACTATTTGAAGAAGGTGCACCAACCTTCTCAACCTACTCTCACTTTCTCTTTTTCAGTTTACATTGGAATAATTGCTGCTGACCATACCTTACATTAGATAAAACAAGAACCTACAAACTCTTCTAACTCAGATTTTTCCCAAGCATTTTACTTTGGAAGACAACTAGCTATAGAACAGAGTTCCTAATTTTCACAGACAACGTTATATTCCCTGACTCACTCCATAACTATTGTCTTTCTGCAAACCAATATGACGCTGCAATAGAATTCAGAATCTAGACTTTCCTGAACACTTCAGGGTGTCATATTTAAATACTTCTGGATGCCAGTTTGTCTCTAGAACAGCACAGGATATTCTTAGGCAGAATCAGACATTCCTCTGCAGCAATTTTCTTAGACTGCTGCCGTAACAGAACAGCTCTAATTCCCACAGCACACAGGAAAAAATGTTAGAAATGACATAGGAGGAAATGCAACTAATGGAAAATGTACTGGAACTCATCTCTCCCAAACTAATTTTTGTGGCATCCTTGTAGTTGGTGTTATAATCCAGATATTCCCTTTTCAGTGGCACAATGCCATCTTCTGTGAAGTCATAAGAGGGAGTATGTTTTAAGCTATATAAATAGTGGAACACAGAAGGACATCGTTACATAAAAACATTGTTAAATAAAATGATTCTACTCTTTTAAGCTAGGACATTGCATAAACTAAAACCCAATATTGTCAGGAGGTTAAGGAACATGGCAAACTGCACAAAAACATGAACTTATTCCTGAAAAGGAAGAATGAAGACAGAACTAAGCGGGTTGAGGGAACTAAGCAGATGGGCGCATTTTGTTTACCCTCTTAAAGAGTACTTCCATTTACCTTTATCTAACCGGTGGAAGAAACGTGGCATTCCCTTATTTCCTTGTTTCCCAATTGAAAGACAGATTTCTTTTATTTTCAACTCAGATTATCCTGCTCTGACTGCCTACTAGTTACCACATACAAAGCAGCAGCAGACAAACCATCTTAACAGTGCTATCTCAAAACAGTTCCACAACATTGACTTCCAAGAAAGAAAGAGGGTGTAATTCCAGTCCTCTATCTTTGCTGAGACTTGTAAAAGCATGATTATTGAACGGAACAGCTGCCGACTAAGAAATGGAGCTGCAGAAGCATATGATATGCTGTCCATACAGACAGCAATCATTTTATTCCAGGGATTAATTCAAATTAAGATACGGTTCCAAGGACAGACATGAACTCCTGGTCTAAAGGTGAAAAGCTTTGGAGCTTATAGAAATGATGCAACTCTTCACTGAGCAAGTAATGAACTGCATATTGGAGATGTCTCTTGCTTGTGCAGGAAGAATGAAAAGCAAAGAAATGTGTGCTGAACAAATGTGAAATGCAGCTAGTAGGAGCACACAATTCACTCCTCTGTTGTAGTTCAGAGCTTACCAGCATTTCAGGGTAATTCCCACAGTACTCAGTGGAACCAAGGGAAGCATAATTCTTCCTGGAAAATGAGAGATCTCATCATTTTAGTTTGCTTTTTTTTTTTTTTTTTTCTCCTTAACACATGTTCTTGATAACTGATATTTTGTACTTAGCAGATCCCAGGGTTACCCTGAAAACATAAATGCAAATACTTCAAACTAATTTTTTTTTTTTTAAACTAAGAGATTCCAACATGCTAATTAAAACAGACTTTTTTTAAAAAAACTAAGTAGATTCTTTCACCTCACTGATTCTGCCTGACAGCCTGAACAATGCAACAAATGTTGTTATAGCTCTATATCACCACTGTTGCTTTTTGCACAATTTCCAGTTCAATCTGAGACTCCAGCACCCTTTTTTCAGGCAATGTCTGGAAAAGCTATACGTTATCACCACTCTGCACAAAATCAAAGTCAATGATAAAAATGGAAAGTGTGGAGGGGAGGAAGAAGGAACAAGCCCAGATCAAGCTGCTAAACCATTGATTTATAATGTTGAAAACTTTCTTTGGGAAAAAAAAAAAAAAAAGGCTCACAAGGCCTGTTTTTGATAATTTTACTCAGAAAAGAGAATTGGCAGATAGTGATATGTTTTCAAAGCACTGCACAAAATTTTCACAACATGATTCCCATTGACATTAATGAGTCAGATAGCTGAAATACTGCACAGTGCTTTGAAAATGTACCCTACAGCCTTTTAAGGCTGCTGTTGGGAAACTGGAGCACTTGCCTCCTCAGTAACCTTTCAGTTGCAACTCAGGATTGCAACTATGCACTCCATCCCTTACCTACAGGAGAGCATTTCCTCCCATACCATGTGAGGGCCACCAGCACAGAAGCAGTTTGGGATCTGTGTGGAGATGCTCTGGTGACATCCCCACTCCTCTGTGACCAGGAGGGGATGTGGGCAGGGAGAGGAACATAGTCCAACACCAGCTGCTGCAATTGGAAACAGCTCTCAAACTGGTTTTAATTACGATGAGATTTGGCCTGGCACCTACTCTCTCTAGAATCAAGAGCACTAAGCCCTCTGTCTTGATTAATGCTCTCTCTGCTGTATAATAAAAGATCTTCAGATGCTTTAACAGGCCCAAGAATTGTTTTCTTTTTTGCCTTTTCTAAGCTACAAAAGGAAGAAAACATATCTTAAAAGCAAGAAGCTTGTGGTAACTGTGGTATAAGGAACAATGTAATTGTATGATACCATTACATGAAGCACTGGTTTATTTCTTCATACAGTCTTGTCTATTTTGCATTTTCAGTCAATCACAGCAACCTCTTCCTCATTACTTTCTCACCAAGGTGATGAACATTCCAGCTGAAACAATTCCTCTCTAGCAAAAAAAACAGGAAGAGGCTTCTCCCTTGTATTAAAAAGAAAAAACACACAAAAACAAGAACTTATTTTGGAAATCTTAACATCTTGAAACTAAGAACATTGCGAAAGCCAGAAGCAGAGGAAATATATCTGCAGCACACCTTCACTGATGTTAACTAAAGTGAACGTTGCTTATATCCAATAAAGCACAAGGAGATCTTGCAAACCTTTGAAATTTTATATCTGAACAGCCACATAGAAGAGTGTGGGTTATGTTAAGACTGCAAACATTTAGTCACGACAAAACTGTAAATACCTCATACATACATAAAAAAAAGGTATATTTAATAGCTATATAGGATAGAACTCTGGCTGAGCTCCATGGTGAAAGTACAGAGCATTTTTGATGAGTTACTTCATTAGGTGCCTTATCAGAGCAACTATGCAGAGAAGCAGTATTAATTCTGCTGCTGAAGGGACATGGGTGCCCTTCAAACACTATGGCAGGATTGTTTCCTGTGAAAGGTACAGGATGGAATTAGGGAAGAAATATAAATGAAGGATTCGATATTTGCTGTATCTGCTTTCCAGCAGCTGTTTGTCCAGTTCTGTTCAGGTAGTAGAAGACTATTATATTGTTGTGTTGTTTTTTAAAGAAAATAATGAACACAAATCTTTTTTTTTGTTTACCGTAGAAAAATGTATATACAACTATAAACTGAGACTTTAAAGACAGATTAAGGTTAATAATCAAGGTCTGCTCCCAGAGTAATGCCTCCTATTTTGTTACATTGGCTCACAACATCAGAGGTGGATGTTGGTGATATGACAGTAAAGGTTGATCCTTCCTACAAATATTCTATTGCATATTGTTGTAGTACAACAGATGGCAGCAGAGGGGCAGACTGGCAAATTGACAGCTGACAAGTGGGTCAAAGAAAAGGTGTTTCCACGTGGAAAAAGTGGCACCCATTCACACTCATTGATACTTGCTGAACATTTATGGAGATCAAGAAGTGGATTTGAACACAGTGAGGTGGTGGGTAGTGCATTTCAGCAGTGGGTCATCTCTGCTGGTACAGAGTTTTATGAGTGGGACATGCAGGTTCTTGTTCATCACTGTTGAAAATGTATAGCTAATGGTGGTGACTATGCTGAAAAATACTGTTTCATGGCTAAGAATTTGTTCTGTCAAGTACTGTTACTGTGCTTTTCGTAGTTGTTGTACTTTCCATGGAAATAAATAGAAGGCACTGCTTTTGGAGCAACCTATGTAGTTATGCCATATATTTACATGCATATATATACACACACATACACACAGTTTAAAAATGTACCATTTCTCTTCCTAAACTTCTGAAAAACAAACACAAAAGAAGTAATTCATCAGCAGCCAAATCAAGCAAACAATCAAGTTGGGAGGATTTGGGAAGTTACTGCGCATCAGCAGAACTGTGCTAACAACATACACAGATACTCCTGATCCCCAGCCAACATAGGATGAGGCAACTCTCTCCATTCTCAATAGTTATATTATCTCACGTTTGCTGTGGGCTTGTCATACACAAGGCCAATCATTTAAATTCAACAGGGGCTTGTAAATAAGTGACTTTGGTCACACACTTGAAGAATAAAAAGTCATTGGAGAATAAACATTAAGGTTGGTGCATGATAGGGTAGATGTTAGTAATAAGCATTTAATTCCAATTCTTTCATTTTCCCGGACAATCTGCAATCTTGCAGCTAAAGTAATGATTTTTACAGATTTTTACAGAACAGTGGTATTTCCTTGCACTGTAAGTGTTATTTTTTCCTGGGTTACCTCATTTGAGCAAACTGTGATATATATATATATATTCATATATATATATTCATATATATATATTCATATATATATATATTCATATATATATATTCATATATATATATTCATATATATATATTCATATATATATATTCAGTAATGTGCAATGTAATGCAGTGCTTTACAACAGAGGATTTTTCCTTTATTTTTCATTTTTGGATGGATCTCAATTTGTTTGTTCAAAACACCCACTGGCACACAACACGAAGTACAATAAGAGAACATGAAGAGTAGTATCATTACCAGCCTTATTAACGTCTTTTTTACTATATATATGTATACATAAATATTTAAATCCTCTAAAATACAATAGTCAGACTTGATTTTCCCCTGCAAATTGAGTCAACAAGATATTAGGCAGACTAGGAGACCTGTGACATGACTTGGAACAACATATGACGTTATTCTGCTTACCTGTGAATTACTGGCTGCATAGCAGAAGGCTGCTTCTTCAATGTGAATGCTCAGTCTTCTCACTGGAGAGTAAAATCCATTGATTTGAGTCATAATCTGTGGAGGAGACAAGGAAATTTCCGAAAGCTTTCTTTCTGCTTTCTAGCTTCGTAGAAAGGCTTCCTCTAAAGTAACAGCATCCTTTAGTTTTAAAAGCAACTGCATAGCAGCACTGTGCTTAAGAACAGAGATGTTTAATTAATAAATAACAGCAGTAAACAGCAATTTTTCCAGAATAATGTTTTCTTTAAGATTTCTTTGAAGTTTTTCATGTTTTGACAAAACCTGAACATGGAATATTTCCTTCTACTTTTAGATTTATATTTAAAAAAAAAAAAAAAAAATTCAGTACTCTATGTTGATTTTCAGAATAGATAAACACAAGTCTGGCTTCAGACTTCTACCTGCAAGCATGAACAACCAAAATTCAAAGCTACTGAGATGACCACAAAAATTAAATTCTACAATTAATTTGTTTCAATATTTTTAGAAGAGTCAAGGCATTAGACCAAAGTCTTCATCTTGTAACGGTTCTGTAGATTTGTTTAATTCAGAAGTCTTAAGCTCTGAGGAAAAAACATTCAACATGATGGATGGCCCTAAGAAGCATTCATTCTGCCCACTTTGAAAAAGAATAAGAAACTTAATGAGCAGTTAAGAGTAATAAGGACATCCTATTAAGTAGTTGAGAAAGTAGAGAGTGAGTATGAACACCATCTGAAGAAAGTTCTCACATTCCCAGTGAGCAATCCTCACGCCTGTTTCCAGCAGCACTAACATATTACCATGTAATTTTCTCATTTCTGGAGTCACAAAACCATGGAATGGCTTGGATTGGAAGGGAGATCAAAGACCACGTAGTTCAAACCCCCAACCGTGCGCAGGATTGTCACCCATCAGATCAGGATGCCCAGGGCCCCATCCAACCTGTCCTTGGGCATCTCCAGGGATGGGGCATGCATCTGGGTAGCAGTACCACACAGTGAGAAATTTCCCCTGAACTATTCAGAATTTAAAAAAAAAAAAAAAAAAGGAGAAAAGTACGCGCACTTACAAGGACTGGCCATAGAGTAAGCTCTCTTGTTACAGAATTTCATTTAAAGTATGCTGTCTAAGAATTGACATAATATGGTGTTACTGAACCTGTCAGTGCAAACCAAGTTACAGTAGCAGTAACAAATCAATACAAAGTGATAGCATAAAGCAAACAAAAAATTTATACATCTCTGGAGATAACAAATCCAGAGCTTTATCTCACTCTTCTATAACCCAAAATAAAAAATGCATTGTTTTGTCTTTCCTGCAAGACATGGCTTTGGTTACTCTGCAGTTTAAATGCTGTTATATAAATCCCTTATAATTTTTGTGAAAAAGACACCCCTGTAAATACCAAACATCATCTCTGTGTAAAATGAAAACCCATTATACTGCATTTACAGAGCAACAACAGCAAGCAAGCCAAGGCTGATGCTGACGCAAGCAGCTGTGCTGACTTTAGATACCCACAAATCCTAAATCTATTCAAGGGCTTGAGCTTTTGCATAAAGCCTATATGTGTTGTACCTGGCAAGTTTTTCATTGCTTTGCAGTGCAGAAACACTTAATTAAATCTATGTGCACGCCAGTCCTTTCAACAAAAAGTGCAGCCATGGGTGGACACTGGCTCTTTCAGTCTGACCTATGCCTGTCCAAATCTGAGACTGTTCCAAGTCATTTGCAACACAAATGATCAGTTGTAAAGTCAGATCTTTTGTCACTGTCCATCTACCATAACCTGTGGCCCACACAGATTTCTATTGCTAGCTATAGGAACCGTTCGCAATGGCACAGTTACAACATAAATGTGCTGTTCAGTAGCTTATCAACTGTGTCACAGGATTTATCCCACTTATGATTTTGAATCCTTCTTCTCATAAATAGTTGAAATGGAAACATTTTACTTCATTTTTCCGTTGGAATTAACAATATATAAAGATAACCTGAACTGGTATGCAACTGGGATCTATTCAGAACAGCACACATTTTTTTATTTTAAATGTACAACTTCTAATTAAAACTGTTAATTGTGTAAGTTGCTTTTTCACTGTAAAATGCAGCCAATGCTTCCATTTTCTTCCTTTGGGTAGGAAAATCAAGCTACCAAGTAGGAAAGAGATGAAGGTGGAGAGCTGCAAGAATCCTCCTCAGAAATGAGGGTTTTGTGTAATGTGAGAGTAGTAGAGGAAAGTAAAAAATGGATTTTCAGGCTTTTAATAAAATAAGGACTTGGAAGAGATAGCACTGTTTTTTCCTTCTTGAGAAGGCAATACAAAATGAGATGATAGCAACAAATATTTAGAAGATACATTTAAGGTAAGCTTCTGCGGTCAAAGGATGAGATGGGGGAATTCGTGTGGAGTGATAAGAGAATGGATTCTTGAAGGAGGGTTTAACGGAAAGAAAACAGCATCATGAAGAATTGTATCTACCTATTCTCTCCATATGTATATATAACTGCTATAACATTTCTCTTCCTTCAAAAGCGCCCTCCAGTAATCCTAAAAAACCGAATTCCAGCAGAAATGGTCAAGCTCCAAGTCTGCAGTGCTTTTAGTCAGGTTATCACCTTGCTGTTTTTCCTTAAAATCTCCATTGAACTGCAGCTAAAAAGAAAAGAAATTGAAGAGGCACCACTACTTTCATTCATATTTAGAATCCTGCAAGAACAGCCTTTCAAATTCTGTCACTCGTTACACCGCTGTTGACAAGAGGGCACTGCCCAGACAAAAGGAACCTTCCATACACGATTTGATAGTCACCTTAACTGAGCTACCCGGAAAGGCGTTACCTTAGTAGAGAGGTTTAGAAAAGAAAGCCATGGTCACTGGCAGCTGATGGAGGGGAGGGTGGTTTTATGAAAATACCAACAACAAGTTTTCCTAGAACAAATAAAAACAGAGCAGCAGTCTTTCCCATATTAAATGATTGTCTGTATGCATTTCCTAAAGTTCAAAGCACTATTTTAGAGCTATACAAAGAACAGCAAAGAGCACAGAAGAAATATCACTTTTGTTGGAATTTCAGTTTGGTCCAAGTACAACACCCTGCCAGACATATTGTTTTGTCAGAGGGTATCTGCAGTTTGCAACCATGAACACCACAGAATTCAAATTTGGTCCAGGAATCAGAAGTGAGGCAGTACTGCAAAATGTCCATATTTCAGTCCTGTGCAGCGTAGCAGTATATCCCCCCATAACATAGAGCTTACCCTTGCACTTGCAAGCTGAGAGTTTTGCAAGAGGATTTACCTTGACTGCTACAGAATTCCACCACTGATTTTCTGGGTTACAGCACTCCACATTGGAAAGGCACTGACTATGATTGCACAGAGCTTTCCATTTACAGCCAAAGGCTTAAAAAAAAAAAATCAGACTTCATCTGGTTCGTTGAACTCAGTTTCATTTAGGCAAGAGTTGTAACAATGGGCAGCCACAATTTCCTACCTGGTGATCCTGAGAAATGTGAGGATGGTTTTTCCTTGCAAGGTCCAAAGCATTTCCATGCAGAAGGGTGTTCAGTTATTTATCCTATTGAAAGCTTCATGCAACAGACTCATGAAACAATATACTCTCAGATACAGACAAGAGATGACTCCATAACTTCAGTAAGTGTTCCAAATCACAATGAAAATGCAAGCCTTATTTGCTCTATAAATATAAAAAATAGTAGAGATTTGCTGTCATGAAGAGGTCACCATTTAAGTAGACAAGACAGACAAAAGCTTGGGCAAGAATAATATTTGTTTCCCTAACACAATTGGGAACTGCAGCAACAAATGGTGGAATCCACTGCCTTTTCTAATTAGAACTGCACCAGATCAGAACTTTAAACTCAGTTGCATGGTTTGTGGTGTACTTAAATTACATATTACTTGCTGACCATCTGTCCACAGACCCTAAGGGGTCTTGCCAGTGCACTGAAGTCTATGCTGCCATTCTCAACAGCTATAACTGCTTGAGCTAGTTTAGAGTTAACCGTGTAAGTAAACTCAAGCTGCAATTATGCCTCCAGATAGAAGCACACTTAGTGCCTTGCCCAGCGTAGCAAATAAAGACTGCAATAAAGCTCAGATCTTAACAAGGTTATTTGAGTCCTGATCCGGTGTCTCACACATCTACCCAAAGTCTCTAGGGTCCCCCATTCCTATCTGTGTAAAATTCTAACTGTGTTGCATGGGATATATAAAGGGCATGAACTCAGCAGCAGGAGGAACTCTTTTCCTCAACACTCAAGACAGAAACAACTTTACTCCCAGAAAGGCAAATAACACAAGTTTAGAGCACGTAAGAACTATGCATGCCTCATCCCATGTTAGATCCCACTCTGGATTTATGTAGCGTTGAAATGGGAGGAGGGGAAGTACAACAGAAATTAACTTAAGTTGACAGCAATTGTTCTGGGCTTTGGCAGTCATACACTTAATAGTTTGGTGTTATTTCTAGATTTTTTTTAATTTAATGCACACCATTAAAAAGCATGCCTGTAACAAATGAGTTTCCCTTAAAAGAAACTAAATCTCATGGCAGCTTGTTTATTAAACCCTTAACTTTGTAAAACACCTGGGAAAACAATAGTAGTGACTTTCTGACAACACTATAGGCAACTTTCTTTGGAATAGCTGTGAACAGCTGTTTATTATTGGGTAATAAATTCTCTCCAGTAATAGCAACCAAGACATTTTCCACTACACCCGGTGGCAACTTCTTCTGGTGGCCCTCAGAGGCCCCCAGGCTCCTTGCTTCTTGGCACGGGAGCAGAAGAGCGCCTCGTGTGAAACGTTGTTCAAAGGCAGCTCTCAGAGAGCCAGCAAGAGCCTCCCTGCAGAAATATAGTCAGCTTTAACTATTTATAGCACAGCCATTCAGTGGTAACATTTTTTTCCAATCAGGGATCTCAGGGTCAGTATCCCTCATCAGTATTTTGACAGCTTGTGGCACACGAATATAGATGGACTGCACATTACGATTCTGAAGACCTCTGCAGCAGGAGGCAGTTTTACATTCAGAAGACCACGTGGTACTTTAAACTGATGGCCAAAGGATTAAAATTAAGATTAAATTTTGATAAAGAATGAACATTTACTTTTTCAAGACTTCCTATATTTCAGTTTTAGCAAATTTAAATTCTCCCTTTTTCTTTCACTACTCTTCCTCAAGCTAAACATTCATTTTTAAATTATTCCTATAAGACTTCTTAAACCATTAGATTTTTCTTAAAACATCCTAGACAAGCTCTTTAAAGATGCTGACAGTTCTTTAAACTGTAGTTAATTTTCTTCTCATATTTATCCCACTGAAGTATGCCACTAACAAAGCTTTACTTTTTCAATTCCCTTTGTCAAAATCCCACATAAAATCGAGAGGAGGACAAGCACCCAGTCAGTCCCATAAGGCAGTGGGATGTGCTTTCACCACAGAGACCAAGAAGTTCCAACAGCCTTGCCTATGCTTTCCAGTTCATTACTCCTAGCCAAATTCAAAGGCAAGCACTTGGTGTTTTTTCAGGAACACCACTGCGTGTTCAGTTTAGGACATACCTCTGCCAACACACACAGATATTGTTGATGTTTCTGCATGGTGCTGCACATGGCCAAGAGGACAGCACATGGGCCTGGAGACCCCAGGTCTGCCTTGTGTCCTCTATCCATCTTTCCATGGGCACAAGACTAGCAATTACAGGAGATCCCGCTAACTGTAGCAGAAACCTTCTTTTCGACATTTTTAAAGGGGAATGGGAAATGTAATTACTAACTGGACTAATTCAGATGGCAGACTCAGGAGATTTAAAACCATTACTATATTTGATACTCAAGACCAGTTCATGGACTCACTTTATTAAAGAAACATCAATTCCTGGCAAAGGTGTGACAAGTACTGAGCAGACCACTAAGGATTTATATGCTCAGTTTTGAGGGCCATTATCTCCTGGGCATACTGCTTAGTCTGACTCAAATGCACAGTAGCGAACATATATGACCAAGATCTCTGCATAAATTTTGCAATGCTGTTAAGATGCACTAAAATGCCTGCTTTGTTTTAGAAATACATTGTTAGACATGAAGTGCTTTAACAAGAAGTAACTTCAAGAAAACACACTGATCACATCTGCATTCAGCCACGAGCTATGCATACTCTTTCAACTTTTTGTGGCATCTCATGTGATAAGGTAGTATAGATATTCAATTGTCTCTGATGTAGGAGGGTAAAAGATAAATACAGCAAAACGAAATATTTTTCAGGTAGAATTTCCTTCTGTGGTTTCCAAATGGTGGCCAACAATTCTCTCATGCCTAGAACATCAGCTTGTAATGCTTAGGGGTACAGAAAGAGCAGGAAATTGGGAACCATCTGTGTTATATATGCATCTGCAGTGATTTGAAACCTGCCTGGCCTCAATGGTAGTATAGTTCCACCTTGCCTCCTATTTGAATGATTTGCAAAGCAAGATCTTCATCCAGACTTGATCCTCTCTCCTCTGTGCATATGTCAACATCTGTCCCTTTCTATAATGAAATGGCCTGTGTAAATGCAGCATTTGAGTAACACTGGAAGTTCAGTTATACTTACTGCGGTGGCAGAGCTGATGAAAGAGGTATCCAACACTCTATTGTTATGTCTATTCTTTGACCACACTGATTTATACGTGTGCTGACTCTGGAAAACAGAATAATGAATTAAATAGCACTGAGACATTAACATATTTCTCAAGGAAAATGAGATGTGTCCACACAAGAATATCCACCCATTCCAAACCAAAGTGATTTGGCTACTCAGGGATCACTGAGCACAGGAGAAGACACGGGGAGGGAGATAATGGTGTTAAGGTGGATGCAAGAGGAAACTGTTGAGTTAGAACGCAGCTTCTTTATCCTTTCTCTCAGGAATGCTTCCAGTTTGCCCCTTCTTACTCAGCTCCAAATCTGGTTCTGAGATGACATTTTGCTGACTGAATTTATTACTGAGCAAAGACTGGCCAAGGGAGACAACACAGAAAATAATCTGAAGTCAGTCTAAGATTGAAAGAGGTGGATCAGCCTCCTCTAACGGCAGAACAGCAGATAAAGAAAACATGCATGTTTATAAAAAACATCTTTGGTGTAGCTGTTTTGGTTTTTATTATTCCACTTGTCCTTAGCTGTTCAAAGTTGTGGCATTTACAGTTGTAAACATTAAAAATGTAATACTCAATAGTGACCAATGTTTGTGCTCCCAGTAATTCAGAGAGGACAGAAGCTCCTTCAGAGGGTTTGATGACTGGCGGCACTAAAGCTTTCATTTATACTGCTGCTCTGTGCAAATGTAGCAGCTGGAGAAAGTCCTCAGCTGGTGTTCTGAAGACTGAAGACTCGAGTGGGGTCATATCAGATTTGTTTTGCTGCACTCACAACATGACCAAATCTACTACAAAAGCAAAATACAAACTGTTCTTGTTGCTTTTCACAAGGCAGAGGTTTCTTCCTCCTCCTCACTCTGAAGGCAAGGCTTTCCGATGGTTCATTTTAGGATAGCACAAGGAATACTCTCCCTTCCCAGTCTACTTTAGTCATGACCCAACCTCACAACATGATGAAAGGGTGGAGTTTTCATAAAGTACATTCAGGGTTTGATTCCTGTGCTGAGACAATTAGCTGCCATTGTTTCTTTTCAGGATTTTTCCCCCTGAAGAGATCTGCTTACATCAGTATTAACAAGATCTTGGCCCTCTGCTACTCCTTAGTTTGCTCTTGCTTGTTCAGTGGCTTTAGACTTTTCACGGGGTCTTACGGATTTACTCAACTTAATACAAAGCTGCAAGCGCTGCATCTGGCTGTAAATAAGGTGAGCGCAAAGATAAGGACACTCATAAGCAGCTCACATCTTCCTCGTGCCAGCAGCTCCAGACCTGTACGCAGTACTGCAAATGGAGCCTCACAATGGCAGAGAGGAACAATCCACTCCCAGCCCTGCTGGCAACCCCGCTTCTAATGCGGTCCAGGATGCATTTGGCCTTCCAGGCCACAAGAGCACACTGCCAGCTCACGTTAAGCTTTTCTACTACCAGCACCCCAGGGGCTGCACCCAGCCCAGCCTGTGAGGCCACAGTGTAAGGGGATGTTTCCCACATTTGGATTTGGGGTAAACATCCTTTTAATATTCTGATCATTTGGAAGAACAAAACATCAACGATGAAACAGCAATGTCAGAGCTCCAGAGATGTTATTCCTCAATTGGATAAGGAGGTGTAATAGCACCTTTTGATAGCATTACTCATGTTTTTAACACACTTGGAAAAATTCCCACTGCCAATGTCTCAAGTCTCTCAATAGAAAGGAAAAAAAAAACCAAACCACAAAATACTACATGGGCCATAAAAAACAGATACCAGAGTAATGCAGATCCACTGATTATGATGTTACATATTTTGCACTTCCAAACAGTGAGCTTTAGAAATGATCTCAGTGAAAATAAGTTGTTTAAATATACCATTGTTCTGAAGCTTACCAAAAACAGACTAAATAGTTTGTTTCCTTGTCAATCTTTTGGAGCTGCTCCAGGATCATCTGGATAAACGTTGCATAAGTGCACTGAAAATATTAATGATCCTAATAATTTGATCAGCCCATTAGAATGAGAAGTCCAGAAGGTCCCACTTTGTCCCTCAGTATCAGATTGAGGAGATAATAGCAACTTAGAACAGAAAGGTTAGTGGGAAGTGATGTGAAAGAATGAGCTTCTGAGAAATACTAGGAGTTAGAAAGTGTCTCAAAGAAATGGAAAAGGCTTCTATTTTTAAAGGTCACAAAGGCAGAGACATTTGCATCTGTCTCAGTGCAAGCTGAATTCAGTCCACAAGTAGAATGCTCCACTATGCTGCCCAGCTCCTCTTAACTACTAGTACTTCTGTTAGAACCAACACAAAACTCCCAAAAGAGAATAGACTTTATTTCAAGCTATGTCTCTTTGGATCATCTTCAAGATGTATTTAAATCTCAGTAAGTAAATAAATAATTACAGCAAACATCAAATTACACTCAATTATGAGCACTTTATAGCCCATGCCCTCCTAAAAATAATGGCACTTTTCAACATTCGGTTAGTATAAAGTGAGTTTAAAGAACATAGTCTAGATGGCAGCTAAGTTTACAGGTCTTTCGGTGTACATTTTCACGTTTGTGCCAAAGATGCAGGCTAACAGATGATGCAGTCTTTATAACTCTTAACAGTGCAAGGTGATGAAAACTGACACACAGTTCTCCAGTTTTAACTTCACCATTATAAAAATACTAATTTTGCTCTGATACCCATAGTATAAATGAGATGGGCCCTGATTGTTTTGGGGATACTTATGAGTTGTCACAGCTGTTAGAGGTGAGGCTGGTTTTGGATTTCCTATCTCAATGTCAGCTAAACTCCAGGTGTACTTCAGTCTGACTTCTCAAACAGAGCTTCTTGTTTCCATGCTTATGTCTTAAAAGAGCAAGGCTTCTTCAATTGCAAAATCCTATAAATTCGGTAATAATCTGATGATTCTGATACCTATGATCATCTGAAAAAAGCCAGCACTGAGTTCTGACACTTGTTATGTCACATAGCTTACTAAACACAACCATTTCTGTATGCAAGAATCATGGATCACTTGTATGAGCAGTCATGTAAACAGCAAGAATGTAACTTCAATCAATCTTAAATTATCAAATTATGATGTCATAATATTTGTTACATCATTTACAAGTACAATAAACAGCAGGATGAATATTACACCTGCTTAAACCAGAAATACTGCAGCTGATAACCAAAGATGTAGCATAAATTGAAGAAAAGCCTTTTCTTTTTCATATATTGCAACAAGAACAATTGAGAAAAATAAATTTCCCTACTTTTTTTTTTTTAAACTTAGGTATCTTGTATATAAAAATAAAAACCCCTGAGCCAGGAATTCTAATTTACTCCTGATTACAGAAGTAATTCTAAATTTCCTCCTGCTTACAGGGCAGCCTGTTCCAACAGCTCACCACTCTCATAGCAAAGAACTTCTCTCTGACATCCAACCTTAATCTTCCCTCCCTCAATTTAAACCCTTGTCCTTCCATTATCTACCCTTGTAAAGAGTTGACTCCCCTCCTGTTTGTAGGCTCCCTTTAGGTACCAGAAGGCTGCAGTGAGAACTCAGCCTGATCCGACAGACATAAACCAACAGCAGTACAGCCTCCAGCAGAAGGGTGCAGAAATGACTTACTGCCAGCAAAAGTTTTAACTCAGCCAACAGCCCAAGTCCAGAACCTCTCAAACAAGGCCCAAAACAAGATCAGTTTTGTTTGCTCGTTCCACAGATAATGCTTCTTTTGCTATACCTACAAAACTGGAGCATCTGTCCACAGACAAAACTGGTTGCACTTCATAGATCAAGCCAAAGAAACTTCATTTGGAAGAGTGTTTTACTATGATGCCATAAGTTGATTTTTGCTTTGGGGAAGAAAGGCAAGAGTAACAATTACGTGCTCTCTTTCTGGAGCTCAACTTCATCATGAACAATAAACAATTGCAGGTAGCAGACACAATTTACTAAAGTTAATCTGACTTTGAAGTGTATGTTTGCCCCTAGAAGGCTAAACATCAGTTCTTAAGGAATCTGTCATGCTGAAAAGAACTTGACTTTTCTAATGGAGCAAGGGATAAATACAAATACAAGCCAACCTTTCCTTTGTTATGCCTCTGATTTCAGTTGTTCTGTGTGAAGTCAGAATTCAACATACAAATAATCTGGCAAGTGGGAAACTCTATAATAAGCAAACCTCCTACACCAATGAAGAAGGGATACTACCCTGCCATCATCAAATATTCTGAGGTGTGTTTAGTGAGCCACACCAACATTCATTGTGCTAGGGGTCAGTAGGGAAGAGCTCTTGCAATTCTGCTCTCTGTCACAGCCTTAAATAAGCCTGACTTACATTTTAACTACAATTACTACAAGTCCTAAGGGGATGGAAAGGCTTTGGATGTGCAGTACAGTAGCAAATGGTGAAAATTTATCTTTCAGTGGCTGTGAGATGGCAAATGAAACTGAGGAATTTATGAAAGGAAACAAATACCCACTGGCACAAGCACTGCCCAGGGCAGAAGGCATGTTAGCCAGCTCCAAGGACTATGCTCCAATTGCTGTATCTGCCCTTGCTCCCAGCTGGCTTGCAGCCACCAAACAGAGTTTGGGATGAGCATCCTTTGTTTATCTGCAGCTCTCTGTATAGGTACACCCTTTCGCTTACTGGAAGCACCTTTCAGCTTCCTCAATTTTCAAAGCTCACCTGAGCTTATAAATGCCTATAAAGTACTTTTATACATGATATTCAGTTCTTACTTCCAAGGAGTATCAAAATGCAGCAACAATCCATGCTTATTTCTCTCACTTCACGAGCACTGTTATGGGAACCTCTGGCCAACACCCTCTCATCAATTAGCAATTCTCATCAAGTGAAATACAGGGTCACTTTGCTTCCTCGTGAATCACATAGCAGCCACAAAGGATGGGAAAGGTTCACAACACTGCACTTTTGTACCTACTTTTGTAGGATGTGGGATTTAGAAGCATGTCACAGTAAGACACCCCTGGAAACTGAAATAGGAAGAAAATAAATGCCAAATTTGTTAAGTCTTAGTATGTCATTCAGCAAACTAGC